CACACAGTGTGCAAAATTTTATTAAAATCGGTTCAGTAGTTTGGGAGTCTATTGCGGACAAACAACGTGACACGTAATTTATATATATATTAAGAAGATAAGATAATTTAACAGGTAGGAGGACGAAAGGTGAGAGAAGGTGCAAAGCTCCAGGTATAATAAATGGTACAGACTAGTGATAGCAGAAGGAATACCGAAGAATTTGGAAAGCAAATGGAGTGAAGAGAGGAAGAAAAGAGTGGCGAGATTCAGATTAGGGAATGAGATGAGGGAAGGGAGATATTGGGAGGAGGAGGAGAGGAGACGATGCAGGGTGTGCGGGTGGGAGAGAGAGACGTGGGAGCATGTGATGGAAGGTTGCGTCAGAACGATAGATGAGGAGGACGGGAGAGGAATAGAAGAAAAGATAAGAGAGATTTTAGATGTGAGTGTAATAGGGGAAGAATGGATGAAGAGGGTTGAGAGTATAAGAGAGGGGAAGGAGAGACAAGGTTGGAAGTGAAGGAGGTAGAAGCGGGGTTGTAGGACGAGGGGAGGGGGAAAGGAGAAGTGAAGGAGAGAGTAGTGTTAAGATAGGTTAAGGATAGAATTGTAAAAAGAGTGTAACCCTTCGGGGAATCAGTAAAATGTATCTGTAATTTTTAACAGTTATATAATATTAAATTTATAAATTATATAAAATTATATATTGAATAGGCAATTAAGTAATTGCGGATTTTGTCGATAGATGGCTTTTTAAAATCAGCAATGAGACTTAGTTTCCAACACAATAATTATACAGGGTGATCTGTAACTGGTGGTACAAGCGAAAAGAGGGTTACACCAGTTACAGATCACCCTGTATATATATAATAATTAAAAAATATATATAATTAATACAACAAATTAATTTTTCTAATTTAACGTATAATTTTACTCAAAAAATATCTATTATTATCATCATCAAATCAAATTTTCATACCATTCTAATTTTAAATAATGATAAATTTGAATTATTTTAAAAATGTTATTATAATATTCTTTTTTTTTTTTTTAATTAAACATACCAGTAATGTCTAGAGTATACGAGCCATAATCGTAAAGTTGTCTGTGTATGTGTATAGTAGACAAATATGCTAATGCAACGACAAGAACAGCCCTAGAAAAAAAAAAATTATTTATTAACAATATTATAAACAATAAAAAAAATGATTATAAAATTGTATGTAATGTATGAATATAAAAATGTATGAATATTTATGGTTCGTTAAAAAATATTATAATATATAATATATCGATAGATTTTCTATAATATTTTATATGATATTTAAAAAAATAAAAAAAAAAGATAATTTTACGCCTGTTCATAGGCAACCTTAAATACTCGTCTGTTGGTACGAAAACTGTATTTAATCCCTGCTGATATGCAACACGTGTTACACTCGTGTATGACGATGTTGCATACCATTAAGGATAAAAAAAATGTATTTTTTCTTTTTTTACTGATAGATGACGCTCGCAAACAATGTTATCGACGGAGTATGAAGTATTGCATATCATCAGGCGTCCACAATTAATTTATATCTATAAATACGAATGAGTTATTTATTCATTGCATTATTTTATATTCATA